TTTGACATCGTAAGGTTTGAGAAGCTGCCAACTCCCCTGAGACAAGTTGTAATTGATGTCCAAGCTGCAGTGTTATCTGTGCGAGTAGTAACAGAGCAACTATTTCAGCAACACTTCGGGAAAGACATCACTGAGGAATTGTTTCAACGTTACGCTGAAAAATTAGACTCACATCCAGTTTTAAAAGATGATAAATATCGCACAGATGCCAGCTACTTTGCCTTTCTCAAGCGTAAAACCGAAACATCCAAACCAGGATCCTAGCTTGGTTCTTAAAACTTATCATGTGCTTCCAAACTTTGTTATTGTTCACCTGTTTGCAGAGTGTGATCTTGTTTTATGTGTGCATTTTATTTGTTTCCTGCATATGAATAAATAGTTCAAGCTGAAAACAACGAGCTCAGTTAAACTCACAGGATCTCCTTTGTTTCACTGTATAATGAAGGAAGATAATCCCTTGTTGAATTGAAAATTTTGTATGGTAATTATCCCACTCTTCTGGAATTAAAAACAGAAAACTGATACACTGCCACAGGATGCTCATGACCAAACTGAGTATGTAATGATTGGAGAAACTGTGATAAAAAAGGACATGGAAACCATATATTGACTTGATTTTTCTACCAAAGCTCTGTTATTAAGTAAATTCCTGCAAATTTTGGGTTCGTACAATCCTAAGCAGTTGGATCAAATGCTACAGGTTTCAGACTTCGTACATTAGATATTATAGATGTTTCAAGAGCATTATTCAGCAGGTGGAAAGGTAAACACAAATTGATCTATTGTATTGAAGAGAAACACGAAAAGAAGCAATGACCTTCTGACATCCTGTAACTCATTTCAATCAACTTAGCTAGAAAACTACAAGGAGAAGAGAAGAAAATCAATGCTTAGTGTAGAGTGTAGACTAACTTATAAGAACTAAAAGGCCGTTTGAGCATCTCCAGTCTCTCTGCTATTTCATGAGCTATCTATCCATATAGGAAAAACAAAACAAACAGAAACAAGAAATTGCAGCTGAATAATCAACTAGCTGACTCCTTTGCTATCTTCTCAGCCTTAGCAATGACTTCTTCTATACCCCCAACCAGGTAAAACGATTGCTCCGATAGGTCATCATATTTACCGTCCAGGACACCCTGCTCAGAATGAAAATCCAAATGAAAATGAAGTTTGAAACTATATACAGAAATAATTTCTGCTCAATGAAGATGAACAGATGAGGTGAGTGGTGACTCAGTAAGAAAGTAGCTCCTGGTTACCTGAAAACTTTGGATGCTCTCTTTCAACTCTACATACTTTCCAGGGGCACCAGTAAATACTTCTGCAACATGGAAAGGCTGACTCAAGAACCTCTGAATTTTACGGGCACGAGCAACAGTTAATTTGTCATCTTCACTCAATTCATCCATTCCCAGAATGGCAATAATATCCTGGAGATTCTTGTAGTTCTGGAGAACCTTTTGTACACCTCGTGCAGTGTTGTAATGATCTTCACCTAGGATATGAGGAGAAAGCATACGGGACGTAGAATCTAAAGGATCCACAGCAGGATAAATACCAAGCTCAGAAATCTGCATAAGGAGATAATGATGATGTTAATAAAAACAGCGTGGAAAGTGTTTTTCTGAAACATACTATACTACCAAATACCAATATACTTAACAAACTAACCTGCCGAGACAACACAGTTGTAGCATCAAGGTGAGCAAAGGTGGTAGCAGGTGCTGGATCAGTCAAATCATCAGCAGGCACATAGATAGCTTGGACTGATGTGATAGACCCCTTCTTGGTTGTAGTAATCCTTTCTTGAAGTCCTCCAAGATCTGTAGCTAAAGTTGGCTGGTAACCGACTGCAGAGGGGATACGACCAAGCAAAGCAGACACCTCAGAGTTGGCCTAGAGCAGTCCCAGAGAAAGAGGTAGAGAATCAGAAATCATTTCACCAAGTTTAAACAATTGAAAAAGTAAAATATACTAGTTAAGGTATTTGAAAAGATAGCTCACTTGAGTGAAGCGAAAAATATTATCGATGAAAAGGAGCACATCTTGCCCTTCAGCATCTCGGAAGTGTTCGGCAACTGTCAGTCCAGTGAGCCCAACGCGAGCACGAGCACCAGGAGGTTCATTCATTTGACCATATACCAAAGCACATTTGCTCTCACCCTGCAGATAAATGTACATGCAAAATCAGCCAATTGTAAGAAATGTCTGCACTATACATATATTGAAAAGCAAATGCTATCTACATAGACCTGCTTTTCACCAAGCTTAATAACACCACTCTCAATCATTTCTCTGTACAAATCATTACCCTCCCGAGTACGTTCACCAACACCAGCAAACACTGAGAAACCACCTGAGACGAGAAAAGAATGCAAAATTAAATTAACTCAAAGAAAGAGAATACATGAAAATTCTTTTTTACTCCTAGTACAACTAGTAACAAACCATGGGCCTTTGCAACATTGTTAATAAGCTCCATAATAAGAACCGTCTTTCCAACACCTGCACCACCAAAAAGTCCAATCTTTCCACCTCTTTGATACGGAGCAAGTAGATCTACCACCTGTCATCAAAAGCAGCAAAGTCATACAGGATGCACACCAAGTAGACAACACATGATTTATGCATTCAGGATGATTTGTATATCGTCTTCCAACAGCATTTAGTAAGTTGCACATGCTAATCAAATATTTGCTATTCCTGTTTTGCTTCCACCAAAACTATATAGATGAGGACAGATGAAGATTGCGATGTGCTCAGGTCCTAGTGTACAAAATAAGTATCACGCACCTTGATTCCAGTCACAAGAATCTGCTGTTCTGTTGCTTGCTCAACAAAAGATGGAGCTTCACGATGAATTGGGAGATAATGTTCCGTTTCTGTAGATCCGCAGCATCTCAATAAAGCAAATATAAAAAACGAAAGACAATATAAAAAAGTAAAGGCTCATCTAAATGAACACGAAATATAAAATTGGAAAAAGCAAAGCAACATATCACATATTACTGCCATTAACAGGAAAACAAATGATTTTAGCTAATGCCCAGATTCTTACTTAGATCACCCCTTTCATCAATGGGCTCTCCAATGACATTTATAATACGACCAAGTGTAGCCCTGCCAACTGGCACCTGCCATTTTATAACCAAGATTAGAACTTAGAAGGACTATGAGCGCGCCAAACTAGCAAACATATATAATTCAGAGAAAAAGATACTGAATTTCTGAAATCAAATAAACGCCATATGGAAAAGAAAGAAATTGAAAAGTTATATATATAAGATCAATTTTATTTTCTTATGTATATGCAGTAAATATTGAATCCCCTGGATTTCTACCTATGTTTACATCGTTATATTTTGAACCCTTACTAGAAATCCTGGTTGCGCCACTAAATGCAGCATGTAAATAGAATGCAATGTCAAGCTTACTCTAATAGGGGAGCCAGTATTGAGCACTCTTTGACCACGCACAAGTCCTTCAGTTCCATCCATAGCAATAGTCCTAACCATATTCTCTCCCATATGTTGAGCAACTTCAAGTACCACCCTAATATCATGATCCAACACCTCTAAAGCCGTCAAAATCGGTGGCAGTCCTTCATCAAACCGAACATCCACAACAGCCCCGATCACCTGACATACGCTCCCAAGTGCACCGGCGCCGGTGTACTCATCAGTGATCTTGCCGCCGGTTTCCTTAATCGTCGTTGGTTTCTTCTGAGGCGCCGGCGCTTCCTTCGCGGCCGCAGCGGTAGCATATTTCACTGCGCGGTGGAGAAGGTGGCCTGCAGGGGAGGAGCGATGAATAGAACTTGTGAGTGAGGATTTAGTTGAAGAGTGACGTATGGATGAGCGGAGCATGGAGGAGAAGAACCTTCGAGAAGCCATGGTTGTGGAAATGCGAGTGACACACCAGTGAGGTTACAGGTGAATTCACATTTGTATGGGTAAAAGAGAGTTCAGTTTGAAGAAGAACGATTTATTCTGCGTCCGACGAGTTCAAACAATGTTGAAGCACCACGTGTTCGTACCATGAAGAGATTTAAAAGGACGGATAAAAGCATTTCAATTTAATTTGTTAAATTGCACATTATATCCTCTAATTATTACCTCCTCTGTATCAAATGATTCAAATAAGTTTATTTGTTATCGTATTTTTTTTATATATTTTAAAAAATATTTTGAATTGTCAATTAGTATAATTTATGATACTTTTTAAATAATGAAAACTTCATTTCAAAAAATAATAATTAAAGATTTCATATGCAAATTTTAGGTTAAACTTAAATGGTTTGAATCTTTAAAAATGAAAAGTGTCAAAGAGGAAGTGAGATTTTTCTTTATCATCATATTTTCAACATATACTTAAGCTCTACTGATTTCTCTTGTTGCAAATGTATTACTTCTTGTATATTTGTGTTATTAGTTATAGATAATTAAATTGCTTTAGGTTGTACATTTTTTTATTATTCTATAATTTTGTAGTATTTGTTTTCTTAATCGAAAAAAAATGATAATTTTTAATTGTTTATTGATATTAAGTTAGGTGTGAGTTGTGTGAAAAATGGAAATATTCTAAACAATATATTTCGACTTATTTTAGTCATTGATTCTCAATCTTCTAAGGTTCAAAAGATGCTATATAAATTATAATATCCTACAGTTTATTCAATGGTGCAAAATTTAACTACAAGAAAATATAACAATTAACAAAAAATCATCTATAACGAACAAAAACAAGAGATACTAAAATCAGGTATGAAAAAAATATAACGAAACAACTATGCTAGAATAGAACAACAACACACAAATATTACAATCAAAACAAGAAAAACAATGAATAATAATAAAACGTGTCGCATAAGCCATTCTCATAAAACCAGGGTTTTTCAAAGATAGAGGAACAGAGTACCAGTTTTTTTTACAAAGAAACCTTCTCGCGCCATTCCAACCGCCTCCAAGTAGTAATGCTCCGCCTAGTCGTACAATTACCACTGTAACAATCGTTTACGCCCGGCGGCCATGTCCTCTGACGCCGGAACCCTAACCCTAGACTCTACCACTCTGTACATAACCGCACTCAACTCCCTCTCCGATAAATCCTCATCAAATTCAATCCCATTATCCCTTCCTCTCCCCCCAATCCCTTCTTCAATCCCCCAACCAAAACTCATCCCAAGAACTCGCTTTATCATCGACGGTTTCAAATATGCCGCCGATTTCTCCGTTTCTTACTTCCTCTCCCATTTTCACTCCGATCACTATACTGGCCTGTCCTCTAATTGGTCTAAAGGTATCATATTCTGTTCCTCCACCACTGCTAACCTTCTCATCCAAGTTCTCAATGTTCCCGCGCAATATGTAGTGTCTTTACCGCTCTCCGAATCGGTTTTAATAGACGGTTCTGAAGTTTTTCTCATCGATGCCAATCATTGTCCTGGTGCTGTGCAGTTCTTATTTAAAGTTGCAGTTAATAATGGAAAATTTGAGCGGTACGTTCACACAGGTGATTTTCGTTATTGTGATGACATGAAATTAGAGCCTGTATTGAATGCATTTGTGGGTGCTGATGCTGTATTTTTGGATACAACTTATTGCCATCCGAAATTTATATTCCCTAGTCAACAGGAGTCAATTGATTATATAGTTGGAGTTATAGAAAAAAGTGGAGTTGAGAATGAGGGTTCATTGAAAGATATCTTGTTTCTTATTGCTACTTATGTTATTGGGAAAGAGAAGATTTTAATGGAGGTTTCGCGGAGGTGTCAGAGAAAGATTCATGTTGATGGCAGAAAAATGTCGGTTTTAGGAGTATTAAGTCATGGGGAGGATGGGGTGTTTACTACTGTTGAATCTGAAACTGATGTTCATGTTGTTGGGTGGAATGTATTGGGTGAGACTTGGCCATATTTCAGACCTAATTTTGAGAAAATGGATAAGATCATGAATGAGAAAGGATATTCCAAGGTGGTTGGTTTTGTCCCCACAGGTTGGACTTATGAAGTGAAGCGGAATAAGTTTTCAGTGAGAAAGAAAGATTCCTTTGAGATACATCTTGTTCCGTATAGTGAACATTCAAATTATGACGAGCTTAGAGAATATGTGAAGTTTTTGAAACCAAAGCATGTCATCCCAACAGTAGGTACAGATGTTGAGAAGCTGGATAGCAAACATGCAAATGCCATGCGGAAGCATTTTGCTGGCTTGGTTGATGAGATGGCCATCAAGCAAGAATTCTTAATGGGTTTTCATCGTTGTGTCCAAGGGAAGGAGGATGTAGATGCAAAAGGATCTGGTCTTGCTTTAGTTAGTATCACCGAGCAAGAAAACACAAACGGATCTGCTCATACTTTAGTCAGTATCATCAAGCAAGAAAATGAGGATACTTCATCAGATTCTAAAAGCTGCAATGCTGCTGATATGGATACTGTTATCCATTCCTCATTTCCTCAAGGAGAATCTGTGTCACCAGGTTTAGAAAAAATAAGTGAAGGTGATATGGACGAAATACTAGAAGAACTTCAAGGCTGTTTGCCCACTTGGGTAACTAAAGGTCAGATGTTGGATTTACTTAGTATTTCGGATAAAAATGTTGTTGATGCAGTCTCATACTTTTACGAACATGAAACAGAATATCGTGAACAGGTCACTGCCAGTAATTCTGTTACCTCTTCTTTTGAGGGAAACTCAGCAAATGAGTCTGCATTACCTTCCAAACCATGTCTTGGTAAAAGCCCGCAGCAGGGTGAGACAACTGCATCAAGTAAAACTGTTAAACTACCCATCATGGACAGTTCTAGTAGCAAAAAAGTTTCTCCTGGTAAAAGGAAGAGAAGTACTGGAAACAAGTCCAGTTCCAGTAGCAAAAAAGTTTCTCCTGGTAAAAGGAAGAGAAGTACTGGAAACAAGTCATTTGAGAAAGCAAAAGGACATGCGAGTATGGATTCTGGTGGACCAAAGCAATGTACTATAACAAAGTTCTTCAGTAAAACGCTGCCTCTTTCTTTGCAGAATGGAAACAGTGAAGCTGATAACTGCATGCCACCAAATGCCTCTATTGAGGCTTATAAAGAGGAAGCTGATCGGTTTATTCAGATTATGAATGGGGATGACTCTTTGAGAAGTTATGCTACCACAGTACTAGCAAAGACTAAAGGAGACATAAGTATGGCACTTGATATTTATTTTTCAGAATACAAAGATGTAGGAGAGACTAATGGAGATGGGATTTCTAAAACAAACAAATTGTTGCAACCTCAGTGTGCTAAAGAAATTTACCCTTCTTCCAAAGATGATAAATTACCCAAAATATTAGGAGATGATGATGCCGATTTGTCGTTATGTGGTGTTCCCTTTGCTGATAATGCTGTAAATTATGTATCACTTCCCCATGAGAAATACTCTCCCGTGGAACATGGTTGGTGTGTTGTAATTACTATTAATTGTGTAATTTTTAGATATATTCCAGCAGTCCAACTTTTGCCACTAAGTAAAATTTGTTCAGTAGTGAAATCATTCTTTTTTTCCTATGCTTTCTTTCATTCTATTCCCCAGCTTGCTGGAGTAAGGGGCAGGCTGCTCCATACATACATCTTGCACGAACTTTTGAATTGGTAAAGGAAGAAAAAGGGAAGATAAAAGCAACATCAATGTTGTGCAATATGTTTCGGAGGTTTGTTGCTTATTTTTCTTTTTAATCTTTAGTCTGTTGTAGGTTTATGACTCAGCATATCATATTAGATCCACAGCAGCATGTTGACAAAATTATCCAGTATGGTATCATTATCCTTACAGTAGGTTATGGTGAGGGTTATTTGTTAGGGGTTTAAGCACGGAATGTTTTGATAGCTTCTGTTCCACATTTGGTTTATTGGATTAATAGCGGCTTCTATTTGGGTTGAATAAGCACTTTTTAGAAAGCTTGGCCAAACACTAATTACTACTCAAAAGTGCCTTTTAAATTAATTGGCCAAACACAAACTGTTTCTCACCGAAAGTACTTTTTTGAAAAGAACTTCTGAAAAAAAAAACACTTTTCAAAGTAAGCTGATTTTAGAAGCTTGGCCAAACAGGTTCTCTGTCTTTGCTGTCAAAGCAAATTTACATCTCAAAACCGAAAAGGAACATTGCTCTACTTTTTGTTTGGTATAAAGAGGGAGTAGAGACGGCAGGATGAATGTGGGTTAAAACTTAAAATGATAGTTTATGCATAATTTGTAGGTTCTGTCCCCCTGCAGCACCACTGCGGGAAAATAATACAATTTCACATCTCTAGAGTCTTTTTTTTGGGGTGGGTGGGTGTGTATAAGACCTATCATTGTCCACCCTTTGATCCAGAAGAAAGTGTGTGGTTTCTTCTGGGAAAAATGAACCCTCTGAAGTTATTGAGCTGTTTCAGTTGATGAGTTGCTCTCATTTGCAGCTTGCTAGCCTTGTCTCCGGAGGATGTGCTTCCTGCAGTGTACTTGTGCACAAACAAGATAGCCCCTGATCATGAAAATATGGTTGGTTTAATTGATTTTCTATATGATTTTGCTTCTTGGTCACTGCTCGAGTTGTTGCAAAAACACTGATGCAATTTTCTTCTTACTATTTTTGTGCATCTATTATTTTGATTTTACTAGTGATGCCTAGGAGTATGTATTCATTGATATGAACAATAATATTTATTGATGTTTGTAGTACCAAATGGTTACTATCAAAGCTTCAAAGGTACCTTTAGAATACAGTCCTTCAAACGTGCAACCAGCAGTGAATTTCAGTGCTTCATCTAATTAATTAACCCATCTGTAATTTCCTGTTACCTGAAAGGTATAAATATGTTAAGTACTTAAGAGCTTTTTCCTGAAAAGCACCTTTCTCATTTGTCTCCAAGATGTTAAGTATACGACATGAATTATCTTCCTATAATTCTAAGGGTTTGCCCTTAGCACAGTCACCCTATTTAAGCTTGTCTCCGGAAGTGGTATTCGTGTCACACATTTAATGGATTCATGGTGACGACCTCTGAAATTAAAAAAATAAGAAATGCACAAGCTATTACTTTAGGTGTATGCTATAAATTGAAATTTGGAAGTTACAAAGGGATGATTTGGAAATATACCCAAAAAAAGGTTTTTTTTTTTTTTTTTTTTACAAATCAAATAAAAATCATTAGTATTACATCAAGTTGGAGGAAAGGGAAAGGTGAGTGAGGGGGGTTAAGGAAACATGAGAGGGTGTGTGGGGGATCCAATTAGTTGGATTTTCCCTTTGAAGATTGCAGACAGTCTTTTTGTTTTTATTTGCCTTGATTTTTCTGTAAATAATTCTCTGTTGGGAGGGTAAAATTGTTATTAATGCATCTTGGGTAAGATCACTATCATTTAACTGTCTCCGACATGGGTGGTGACGGTAGCTGAGGTCCTTCCAACAACATTAAACTAGAGAATGATGTACTGCATTTTTCACAGTAACGAGAATTTCCATTTAGTTTCATGAACTGAATGGGAGCCTAAATAATCCACCCCAGTTAAAACAGAAAAAAGAGTATATAAGTTTTCTCCTTTATACTGCTGTTCCCCTGACATCATCACATTATTTCTTGAAGAAGATTTTACTGCCATAGCTTCCTGTCATATTGAAAATTGAAAAATAGTTGTATACTTGAGAATTCATCAGCCAGAAAATAACCTACTATGAAAATGCAGGGCGTTCATAATCTCACATCTCAATAGTAACTTCTTGCTTCTCCTGATAGAAAAGATAGTAACTTTCTTCTTTCTACCGTGGAAGAGGGCGGATTTATGTGTGACATTAACAATCACATCATTTGGTGTTATGGGCACGTGCTTTCTTGTGATCTACAAATTTCTTATTTTTGTGATTAAATGCGTTGTTTATCTGTTCATGATTTGCCAATCAAAAAAATATCTGTGCATGATCTTACCAATCAAAAAAATATCTGTGCATGATTTTATACATCATGTTGTTACTTGTGTCTTTTTTTATTATACCAATTTTCAGAGCTCTGTTTCGATTCTGATCTTATCGTGATCCAGGAATTGAACATTGGGGGTAGTACTGTTGTAGCAGCACTAGAGGAGGCATGCGGGACAAAGAAATCAAAAGTACGAGAACTATACAACAGTCTCGGTGATCTTGGTATGAATATTTGTCATTTTATGTTGCTGGACAATTGATAGCACAAATTTTCACGTTTCTCCTTCCTTGGTTTGTTTGGATGCTTCTATAATGGGGTTGGACCTTGTTGACCCTAATTTGTATTAGGTGATGTTGCTCAACTTTGCCGACAAACACAATCATTACTTGCTCCTCCAGTGGCACTTACAGTTAGGGGTGTATACTCTGCTCTTAGAAGGATAAGGTATGATTTTGACTCTTCTTTCTGGTTCTGACAGTTGTCATTGCTGATCTTTTGATGAGAATGTATAGTCTTCTAGTATTCAGGATAGGTTCTTTTTACTGGTTTGATTCCTAGACCAGAGCCTATTTCCCCAACCACAAAATCTCTTTTGTTATGTTAGCGGAAAATCCTTAGAATGAGAAAAAGTACATGACAAAAATACAGAGCTAACCTCAGCAATGCACTTCCAAGTACTCAACGGACTGTATTCCTGCATCATTTTCTTATCTTTTCTTTTTATGTCATGCGAATCCCTTTCTTGAATTTCAGACCATGCTATCCTTCTTTTATGGCAAGCTTCTATTAGTATGCTTTTGGATTTTATCTTATTCAGGGGATGAAGTCTGTGTAAGATGAAAAAGAATAGAACATTATAATATGTTATAAGTTTCAGAAGTAAATGGTTGCTACCCATGGTCATGGAACTCGTTATTTGGTTCTGATCATTGTTGTGAGAAATATTGGAGAAGAATATTATTGAATTGTTGTTGTCATTTGCATTATTACATTGAGACCATATTTATAGACCCTAGAATACAATTCTTTACCAAGTAGGATACTATTTAATATTCCTATTTCTATTTCTATTCTTATTCCTATTCTAATAGAATTGTATAAACCTATTCTTATTCTAATAGGATTGTATAAACCTATTCCTATTCTAATAGGATTGTATAAACCTATTCCTATTCGAACACTCCCCCTTAAGCTAGTGCATACAATTCATGTACCTAGCTTGTTACAAATGTAATTAACACGAGGACCGATTTGGTGAGATATCTGCAAGTTGATCACTCGACTTCACAAAATTGACAATCAATCTCAATGTTCTTGGTGTTCTCATGAAATACTGAATTTGATGCATAATGCCGATAATGTTGGAACTTCCCAAACCAAGCTTGCAAAGACTGTTTCAGACCATAGAGTGACTTACGTAATCAACATACAAGGCTACTAAACTCCCCCTAGCAACAAAATTAGGTGGTTGCTCTATATAGACTTCTTCACTATGCAACAGTCGTTGTACGTGCTCTAAATCTAGTATAAAGTATGTGGATCATGTTGGAATCAATAGACGAGTCGATACAAACAAATCACCGAAAAACTGGCCGGAACATGTTCATATGTCGGAGTATCAGATTTGATGATTAAAAGTGGTCACAATCTAAGAAATAAAATTATATGGGTAGGGTCGGAATGATGTCACGATCCAACTAGAAAATAAAAATTATATAGGATAGTTCGAATTGATGGAACGAACCCATTGAAAAAGAGAAATAATATGGGTAGGGTCGGAATGATGGCACGACCCTACTGAAAAAGAAAAATTATATGGGTAGGGTTGGAATGATGGAATAACTCTACGCAAATCAGATTTGAGGAGTCACCGGAAAGACGAATGGAACTATGCAAATCAAATTTGAGGAGTCACTGAAAAGACACATGATGCTATGCAGCTCAGATATGAGAAAATAGTTCGGAAAAATCCATGGTACACAAATTAAATATTAAAAGTAGTCCGAAGAGATACACGATGCTACACAAATAAGATATGCAAAAAAATGGTAGTCACCATAAGGATGGCATAGTGCTACACAAATTAAATATGAAAAAGTTATCACTGGAATGATGGCTCTGATACCATGTTAAGATATGACACATAGGCCTAACTCAACCTCAAAAGCTAGCTCATGAGGGGCGGTTTGTCCAAGTCCATATAACGAGACCAAGTTCTCATCCCTCTACCGATATGGGACATCTTAATACTCCCCCGCACGCCCAGACCTCAACTGGAGCGTGGACACTTCTAAATGGGGGTCCATCATCGGTGAACAACAAATTGAGATGGGTCTAGCTCTGATACCATGTGAGAAATATTGGAGAAGAATATTATTGAATTGTTATTGTCATTTACATTATTACATTGAGACCATATTTATAGACCTTAGAATACAATCCTTTACCAAGTAGGATACTATTTAGTATTCCTATTTCTATTTCTATTCTTATTCCTATTCTAATAGAATTGTATAAACTTATTCTTATTCTAATAGGATTGTATAAACCTATTCCTATTCTAATAGAATTGTATAAACCTATTCCTATTCTAACAATTGTCTTTGTGACTTCTTTTTCTTTGTTTCGGGACTGGGCTGCATATTAGCTGGACTACTTTTTTTTAACTTCAAATGTAAGTGACTTCTTATATTTGGAGGTATCCACCATTTGCTGGCTGTTTTCTGAAAAGTACCTCATCAAGATTCTATTAAATAGAGAGGGAGATGCTATCCACTTTACCTACAAATGTACAACTAGGATAGTTTATTTTGAGCTTACAACAACAACAACATACCAGTGTAATCCCACACCTTCAGTCTGGGGAGCATAGAATATATGTAGACCTTATCCCTACCTTTGTGGGGTAGAGAGGTTGTTTTTGGTAGACCCTCGACTCAAGATTCGGTGGTTTGATCCAAGTATTATTAATATCTAGATTCTTATTCACATTCAATCTTGCATAAGATAACACATACATTCTACCCTTCGGGGTGGCCCAGTGGTTTGGGCTTGGGACTTCCATGTTGGAGGTCTCAAGTTCGAAATCCCTTGCCAGCGAAACAAGGAGTTTGCCTTCTGGGTTGAGCTCGTCGCACCAGGCTTGCCTAGTGCAAGTTACCTCTTCTATGTGGTTTGTGAGCTATTGCATAGGAGCAGGGGTTACCCTGTGCACACCCAAAGGGTAGCGGCTGCGGGTTTCCCTTGTCATAAAAAAAAAAAAAGGATAACACATACATTCTCACATAACTTGTGCATGTATTAGTTATGTGGAAAATAAATATTGGAAGCAAACATCGTATGAATAATGCTAAGTTTTAAAATTAGCTTACCAAAAGAAATGTCAAGTTTTATGTGGAAAATAAAATGGAACGAAGACAATGTATTAACAATATGAAGCTTATTGTATTGAAAAATACTGAATTTTATCAATTTACCTCAATATTATATGTTTACCCTACCTTTCTTGTCGTGCTGTAAGCTTGGTATGAAACCTTAATTTCCATATGCAATGCATCAGCTTGCAAGCAGGTAGTGGGAGCGCCGTCCGAAAGAAAAGCCTGATTGTCAATCTCATGTGTTCATGTAGAGAGAAGGAGATGAAGTTTCTTGTGAGAACTTTGGTAAGTTTACGGTTTCAGTTTTCAAGGAATAAAATCCTTTCTTTGGTGTTGTAGGTCCATAAATGTGTAATAGTAACACTGTTAAGAGCACACCCCAAAGTTTTATCAAATCCTGCAATATCTCATATGTAAATGGCATAAGCTAGTAAAGGATAACTTTCTAGATCTTTTTGCCCCCTTGCTCCCCTCAACCAGCTGCGTCTAGTTTGTTTTAAATTGCCCTTGTTGGCAAACTCAACTTAATAGATTAGTATAATCACTGGAGTATTGAGCTTTCAAGTCCAATATCTGTCCCAAATCTATTTATATTGCAGTAGTTTCTCTTCCCTCTTTTGTTGTCAAAGCATGGGTTAATTTAAATACTTATTTACATATATCCACAGTTGAAAGTTTGCTTCCTTTGTGCTCCCCATATAGCATCAGGTTATTGAAAAAGATCAAGCATCTTTAATGAAACTCTTTGCCATCCATAGTTCTCGATTGGTATCATTTCAGTATTGGCTTTAGGAGAGCATGTAGTTTTGTGGATTAAGCGCCCAGGTCTTTGGTCTAGTGGTGAAAGTGTAGAGCATGATGTGTGGGTTAGGTGCACGTCATGGGTTCTCGAACCTTACCAAAAGCCTGATATTATAGTGGAGAAGGGTAGAATTTGGCTCATTATCCACCGGGGTTCGAACCTTGTGCCACTGGCTCTAGGAGAGTCCACGGTCTTCAAAAAAGTAATAAAGGTACAGTTTACACAAACTAATGATGAGTTAGCTACCCTTGGAGAACACTTTTAATCTAAATAAAGACCTAAACAAGCTCCTTTTCTTGTTCTGCCACTTTCAAAGTTCAATAATTTGTTGACTTGTCGTGGAAGATGATGTGTGGCAGATTCTTGCCTTTTTCTTTTTGCCATTTCAACTTTATTTACCTTTTCTGTTGCAAGTTAGGTTCGGAATTTGCGCATTGGAGCCATGATGAGAACTGTTCTTCCTGCATTAGCTCAAGCAGTTGTGTTCAATTCTACTCCTTATGAAGGACTGGTCGAAAACCTGAAAGATTGTCTGCAGGTTTATATTCTATTCCTCTGGAGGTTGCCATCCTGTCAAGTGTCAACAGTAATCTGTCTTTTATTTCATTTGTAAGAAAGCCCATTCTTCATGAATGTTTTCACCTTGGGTCCTGTGCTTATCCTTTGGTTGACTACACTTGAAGATGGTTCTCTTTCGAGGACATGAGTAAAAATTGCTGGCAGTTGATGTTTGGTTTACTTTTGATCTGCCCTATTATTGATTGAAGTGGGAAACTGTGTCTTGATTCTTTAATTTATATTCTACTTTCATATCTTGTGCTTTTCCCTTTCGTTTCTAACTCATTAATTTTGCCTCAGTGGTTTGTCTACTAACGAGTAATTTTTCATTTCCTTGCTGTTAGCGACTTTCAGCAGAAGTAGTAGAAGCTTATAACATCCTTCCCAGCTTGGTAAGATTCACTCATTATGTCTCTAATAGTTTACTGTCAAGAGTTAAGTGGTGGTATTCTTTTCTTTTAAGTGCTTATGAACTTTAAGTTGTAATATATGTTTCAAATTATTGTTGAAGTGGTTGGCCATCTCATCTAAAAGTTTAATCTGTTAGAGAGAGTGTACTTCCTATTTACTTTTAGATTGAAGTGTTACGTTTACTAATTTTAAAAGTTTAATCTAAAAGTATGCTCTCTCTAACCACTTATAAAATCCAGGTCTATTGAAAATTGTTCTTTTTCTATCTCCAGTTGGGTGCCATGATTTTATTTTTATTTTTGCGAAGTCCACGGTAAGTTAGAAAAAGAACAACTTTCAAGTGAAGATAGAAATTCTCATGATACAGCTAATATCCCAGTCAAGGATAAGTTACAACAGAAATGTATTGTTATTTCCACCAACGGGCGGTGAAGGCCTTGTTCACACTAAGCATTCACTATTTCTTCTAGTTTTAAGCTCTGTTAGTGCTCTATTTTTATTACTCACCTGGCCAGCTCAACATTGCTATCTTGTTCACTGCTTCATGTTGGTCTCCTAAATCCCGTGTCACTCAATTTGTCTTCCAAATATTGAAAACAAATAGCTATTATTTTCTGTCTTTCTGCTTCGATAATCCTAAAAGTGCTGTTTTAAAATAATGAAGTATTTCAGTTCTCACTTATATCCTTCCCCAGGAGCCTATTATTATTTGAGTATTATTTGCCTGCACTATGTAATGATTGTCGTTTGTGTTTAATTTATGTAGTCTCTGTTTCGATCAGGATGTACTTGTTCCTTCCTTGATGGAGAAGGGGATTGAGTTTTCTTCAAATACATTGTCAATGGCTCCAGGCATACCCATCAAACCAATGCTTGCAAAGTACATATATTATTGCTGTACTGCACTTCATCCTGCTGTTTCTTTCCTGATGGAGCCATCTCTTAAACTTTCTCAACTTTTGCTTGTGATAGGATTACTAATGGGGTCCCTCAAGTGATGAAACTCTTTCAGAACAAAGCCTTTACATGTGAATACAAGTAACCGCTAACAAAACCTGTTATTTGCTCTTATTTTCTTGATTTTTTTAATTTAAAAATCACTTCTAAATCTGAGTCCTTGGGCATGCTTGCTAATTGTTTCATTTGCTTGGTAATCCCTCGATGTTATGAAATGGACACTGTGGGAGAATGAAATTACCAATCTAGAGGAGCTGCTGGGAACACAGGATCCCTAAATTGCGAAGCATCTCCTTCGGGATTTCAGTGGGTTGGGCTTGTTCTTAAAGTAATTATCATGAAGTATGTTCCTTTGTGGGAATTCTGCTTTGTTGGCATCACATAACAACAGACCATATTATCTGTCTTCGAGAAATTGAGAGTACTAGAACTCCTACCTCCCCCCACCCAAAAAAAAAACAAGAGGAGGAGCAAAAGCAAAGAAAAGAGAGGACGAAAAAATAATTCGAGTAGTAGAGTTAATATTCTTTTACCTTCTGGTAGTTAACTTTTAGTTGATTGCAGGTAGGATGGGTTCACGATCATTTAAGAATTCTTTCTCCAAGTACAATTTTAGAAACTCTTTTTATTTTTCTCTATATCTTCAGTTCTGGTAAGACATTGTTAAAGAAGTTCAACTGTCTTCATAAACTTTAGGGGTAGTGGTTGTAGGGTTATTTGGAGTTCACATTCCTTTTGAGAAGTTCCTCAGTCATATCATTGAGGTACTGGTTTCAAAGAGCTTAGTAATTTTCTTCTTTATGTTTTACTTCCTGATGTGGTGGGTTTCTCTTCTTATTTTATAGTCATTTTTTTTAATCCAAACCTAATATTGTTCTCGTCGTGGTGCAAGCAGAGTGGTGATGGCTCCTTGTAGTATCACAGTCCTCTATTTAGCAGCCTATTGTCTCTTATGAGTCAATTATGTTCAAAAAGCACAAAAGAGATGACACTTGTTGGGGCTTTACCTTTTCTGTTCTTCCATTTTAAGTAAACATATGTGTGCCTGAGTTATCACATGAAATTCTCGTTTTAGTGGGTTATCACCCAAATTTGCAACAATCAACAACAACAACAACAACATACATAGTGTAATCCCACTACCACTAGTGGGATCTAGGGAGGATGGTGTGTATGCAACCTTGATGAACAATTATGCACCAAAAAGATAGATGAATGTATTGACATTTGACGGACATCTAAAGAGAGAGATTCTTACATATGCTTTATCCATGTTGAACTATTTCTTTTTGATGTTGAATGTTGGAATATAATTATATCTTCGAAGATCTCTATTTGCAGATATGATGGTCAGCGAGCTCAAATTCATAAACTGTCTGATGGTTCAGTCCGTGTATTTTCAAGGAATGGGGATGAAACAACATCTAGATTTCCGGATTTGGTCAACATAATTACAGAATCATGTGATTCCAGAGGAGCAACATTTATCTTGGATGCGGAGGTATTTCTTCAAAATTCCACTTTTAAGTAGAAAGGTTTGGGGTTATCGAAAACAGCCTCTCTACCTCTTAAGGTAGGGGTAAGGTTTGCGTACAATGTACACACTACCCTCTGCATACCCCACTTGTGGGATTACACTGGGTATGTTGTTGTAACTTGTAGGTAGAAAGATTTGGGGGGTTGTCACATAGCCATGAAATTTTTGAAAAATAGGGATGCTATACAGATTTCACAAGATATTATATTTGAAGGATGCAATTGGACATAAGACCTAATTAATATCACTGCAAGCAGTTTTAAGGCTGTCCAAAAAAATGTCCAAAAAAGGAAAAGATTGATGGTGCGCTTATTAGAGCATCCAAACATCTAATACTGAGTAAAGCATATGCTAAGACACAACAAAAAACTTATATCCAACTAAAAGAAGAATAATATTGCCGTAAAAGAAGAATAATATTGCCGTAAAAGAAGAAAAAGCAGCTCATAACAATAAATAAAAACAATGATTCAACATAAGTCAAAGAGTGAAAGAAGTTCAAAAGGAAAAGAAATAGGAGAAGAGAAGACTAACTCTTGAGACGCAACAATTATTAATAGGATGGAATTTGAAGGTTGGACCATTTTTTTTCTTTATATATTAATGGTTGAGAATCTTGAGGTCTCAGGTTCAAAACTCAGCGGAGACACACTAGGTGATTCTTCTCACTTGTCCTAACCTTGGTGGATAGAGTCACCAGGTACCTGTTGTGTGGGAGGTGACAAGTATCTCGTGGAATTAGTCAAGTTGCGTGAAAGCTAGCCCGGACACCATGGTTATATTTAAAAAGTTCAATTTTGTGCTTCTAGTCATTGTTCAGACCCGAAAGGTGGTAAGCTGGGGAACTTGGCATGTGCTAGGCCTTAAGATTTTTATTTCTAAAATCTGGTTGAATACACCGAGGATCCAAAAATCTTGTCTAGTTATAGGTATATGTAGGGTGTAAATATGGAAATTTGTGTCCGAATAAAGGGGCACTTGTATATATATTAGGACACCTTTATCCTGTGACGAATGTGGTATCTTGGCTCTATTATCCAAGAAAATCGGGTGATTGATGATGATGCTGCACATCGTATTGGAGCAAGGTGAGTGAAAAGAAAGCTTATGTCTGGGGTATTGTGTGATAAGAATGCATCATCATAAAGATAAGTTCTACAGAGTGACAATTAGACCTAGACCTACATTGTTGTATGGGGCAAAATGCTGACTAGTCAAGAACACACATATTTAGAAGATAAAATGAAAATAAGGATGCTTAGATGGCTGTGTGGGCATACTAAGAGAGATAAGATAAAGAACAACGTTATACAAGATAAGGTGGGAGTGACTTCTGTGGTGGACAAGATGTGAGAAACGAGACTGAGATGGTTCGAGCATGTGAAGAGATGTATAAATGCACTAATGAAGATGAAGATGTGTTAGAGATCGGCTATAGCAGGTTATAAGAGAGGTAGAGGTAGATCGAAGAAGAACTGGGGGAGGTGATTTGACTAGACACGACACATTTTCAGCTTACTAAAGACATGACCTTAGAATCCTAGCTAGGAAGGTATGGAGATTGAGGATTAAGGTAGAAGAGTATTAGGTAGCTGAGTCTTGTCATGCTTTTAGGTGGGAAAGGCAGCGTGTCAATCTCCTTTTCTCATCTTCTCATTTTTAGTAGTCGTGTAGTATCTTATTCTTCAATTTTTATCACTACATGTTGCTTCATTTTCTTTGTGTATCTTGCTATTTTGTTGTCATTGTTTTTCTTTCAATCTTGCTTTGATTTTTTGAGCCGAGGGTATATCAAAAATAGCCTCTCTACCCCATAACGGTAGGGAGTAAGGTTTGCGTACATTCTTCCCTCTCCAAACTTCACTTGTGGGATTACACTTGGCAATGTTGTTTTTGTAATTGCTATTGATGAACTTTTGTTGTTTATGGAGTGATCTCCATTTTTTTCAGGTTGTTGCAATTGATAGACAAAATGGTCCAAAGCTCATGTCGTTCCAAGAACTATCTTCACGTGAGAGGGGGTCCAAAGATTCCGTCATTGCATTAGATAAAATTAAGGTCCTGTCAATATTCTCAATTAGGAATTTTCTAGCCTTCTGATGTCCCCAAAATTTGATTTATCATCAGGACATTGTGTATGGAAGGATGATGGCTTACCTTCCTTATCCATGTCTGCAATAAACATAGCAGACTGGCTCCTCATTCTTTTGTATTTCACATCCTTAAGTAATAAGAAATTTCTTTATATGTTATGTTTATTATGTAATGAAGTAAGTATCTTATTGAACACTAGATCAGTTAAGTTTTTTCTGCAGTACCTATGGTGCACTCTCCCTAAAAAATGTTTGCTCTGTAAAAATATCATCTTTGGTATCTGACATCTCTTTCTTTTTTCATTCTTTGTGCAGGTTGAGATATGCATTTTTGTTTTCGATGTCATGTTTGCAAACGGAGAACAGTAATTACTATAACCATTTCTCCAATTGTTTTTGGATCTCCGTGCCTTCTATTACACATTGTCTATCCTTTACATTGCTACTGATACATAATATCTTTTTTTTTGGTGTGGATAAATACTCACCAGTTTTGATCGACCAGAGAAACATCTTGTTAATGAGTTAGGGGCAGTTTGTTAATCTGGTTAAGCTTCGATAGATGGATTTACTCGGTGATGAGTCACAAATGTATGTGGTGTGAACAGGTCTATAACTAATAAAACATTTAAGGTCTCACTGAAGCATTGCACCAGATTTTGACTGGAAATCCTAGGAATCATCAATCATTTACTTTGTGACTAACTAGCAATAGTGATTCTCGTTGCCTCTCTATCCCAGTGAAATCAGGGAAAACATGTGCTAAGAGCTACTAGTTTATCAGTAACTCTAAACCAAATAGCCAATTTGTTTATGGTATTACTTTCTCATGGAAACTTATCCAGTGCAAGGTTTGTTTCTTTTGGGTGAGGAAAGATAACCCTGAAAATGTTAATCTTATTTCATTAAGAAATCCTTAATATTGGACAATAAGACTTCCAGGTTACACAATTCAGGGGTCTCTAACATTTGTAGAAATAGATGGAGTTAAATGCAATCCTAAAGAAAAATGATATACCAAAAGATTATTGGAAAGGGTAGAGAATATGTGAAGCTATAGAAATAAAAATATACTCCCTCTATCTGATTTATAGGGCTCTTTGCATCTTCAGGATTGGACTTGACAGTCTTCTTTATGAGATTTTCAATCTAATACTCATTATGGATCAACTCATGTTTTTTACAATCACTCTTTAGAGAGCCGAACAACTTTTTTTTATTGATTACAATGCTCTTAAACATATTAAAAATATTTTAGTCTAAATTATCTGGTTCTGTAGTAACATTTATGTGACTGCTGGTATGACTTTAGTTAGTTGTTTGTTTGACACAGCTTAAGCATTTTGAAAATGATTGTTCTTCTGATTATTTGAATAAGCTTTTCGTTAAGCAACTCACTTAAGGAAATAGCTTATAGAATGCAATTGATGATGATTATTCTTCTTATTATTTGAATGAGCTTTCCTTTCAATACTTGACGGTGGTATGCTTTAGTAGAGCCGAAGGTCTATCTGGAAAAACCTCTCTACCTTCACAAGGTAGGGGCAAAAGGCTGCATACACACCACCCTCCCTTGACTCCACTTGTGGGATTACACTGGATATGTTGTTGTTGTAGTAATATTTATGTGATTTTTAATATAGTTATAAACAAATTTTGTTGTGAAAAAAATGAAAAGAATTGAATTCCATTCACAAAGTAATATGGAATTGTTTGGTATCTTTACTTTTTGGTGTAAACAACTCTGTAAAGAATTAAAGATGCAGATCACATTATAGAATTAATAGGGAGCTTGTAATCTTGGTTAGGCTTAGGGCTGTAAATTTTTGAAGATGGCCAGCATGTCCTTAATGCTGAAGAATACAACTTCACCAATGTTCAAAAAAGAAAAAAAGAAAAAAAATTGAGGACAAGTCAACTTCAGTCAAATTTGACCTTCGTGCTATGAACCATGTCATTTGGATAGAGTATAAGATTTCTTAATTCGATCAAGAATCTCGAAAATGGTTCATGATCTTAGTTTGTACATTGTGATACATGCTTCAATATGAAAAGTAACCTTCGTCTTTCTACTTCAACCTGGGAGTGATGTTTGAGGAGACTTCTACATGTGTCTGCCTCTTTCAAAGTTTTGCTGATCAGGCAATGTGAGGCTTTTATGGCTAGCTAGAGTCCTTCCACAATGATGTACACCTAGTTGTTTCTTTTGCTCTCTTTTACTGTTTCATTTGGGACAGTCATGTCTTTTTTTTTTTGGAGAATGTTATTAGGAGCCTATAACTATTAGAACTCTTTGTGCAGATTGTTGAATCTGCCGCTCCGTCAAAGGCGAAAATGTATGCATCGTTGTTTCTTCCTATAAGTGCGGAGTTTTAGTAAGTAATAGTACCATCTTCTTAATTTTTCAAAATTTTGCTGTCTGAAAATCAGATTTGAAGGATTTATTTGGTGACGGCAAAGTAGGTTATTTAGAGTACGCGACAGAAATGACTGTAAGCTTCTTTGTGTTTTTTTTTTAAAGTTTGTTTGTTAGTATGTGCCATGGACCATTCCTGTGTCAGTGTTTCAGTAATTTTTTCTTCTTTAGGTAGAGTGCGATGATGCTTGTGCAGATGATGAAGCCACACTGGCTAGGATGAACAGCTTTCTCAATGATGCACTACATGCTTCATGTGAAGGGATCATGGTGAAGTCTCTTGATGAAGATGCTGGGTACGCACCATCAAAGCGCTCTGATGCATGGTTAAAGGTGTTGCCTCTAAACATCATATATTACATCAAGAAGATGAAATTTTCAGTTCTAATCCTGGAACCTCTTTGCAGGTCAAGAGAGACTATGTTGAAGGATTAAATGATTCCCTGGACTTGGTTCCAATTGGTGCTTGGCATGGGAATGGAAGAAAAGCAGGATGGTATTGACCAATCTTTCTTTCCTCATTGGTTTCTTCTATGCAGACAGTTAAGGAATGAAACTGCAATTCCCACGAATTTGAGCATTTCTTCTCCTAGAAATCTTATTTAGGTTTTTGAGAGCGGGAATGTCTATTCTAAAGTACTATGTGGATGGTTAAGGAAACAAACTGCATATCTCCACGAATTTGAGCATTTTCACCCAGAAATCTTATTTGATTGAGATTGCTTGGTGACGATATTTGTTTTACAGAAATTTGTGGTGTTACCAGTGAAGGTAGATTGTGTACTGCTATTATATGCCATTTTGATAGTTCAGTGCTACAAACATGTGCATTTGTTTGAACAGTCCTGCTCAGTAGATCAATATGAATTGTTTGCTTCTGTTTCACTTTTGGTGTAAAGAAGAATTTCTAGATGAAGTAGATTCATTGTTAGATATCATGGAATCCTTTAAGAGAATACATACATATTCTTGCTACTTTTGCTCCTTTTTAACTGCAAATATGACTCTTAGCACAGGCTTTGTATTAACGATATATAATATTGTTACCTTTTTTCTAGTTAGGAACATCATTACCTTTCTCCAAAAAAAAAACTAAAAATAAACCATGTGAATTTGTATTGCTATATGTAATGCGTATATATTGTGTGGACAAGTAAGATAACATCACCCTCCCCTTTGTTGCTTCTTTTATGACTGCTGCGAAATTGCATTGGATTCTGGTGCATGAATGCTTTCATGTGATTAACACATTCATTTTCAAATTATAGGTATAGTCCTTTCCTTATGGCCTGCTACAACCCTGACACACAGGAATTTCAGAGTGTCTGCCGGGTCATGTCTGGGTTTTCTGATTCCTTCTATGTAGAGGTGAGTTCCATAATGATATAACTTGATTAATTCTCTTCTGATCTTATAAAAAGTTTGTCTTTTGATGGCATGAGGTTTAATTTAATCCCTTCCCCTCATGTTACTAATCAAGTTAAAATTGATATAGGAGTTCAATTACTGGATCTTCATCCCATCTCTTGTACTTGGTGAATTTTATTACTTCGTGTTATTTTGGTCTATAGAACAGCCTACTGTGGCTTTAGATCATCTCTTTCTTTGTTTTGTTGAAATCTTGAGGTGCACATGGTTTTTGAGTTTGATTGTGGTTCACAAATTTAGCAATAGAACACAAAATAGAGCACATAGATCACTACAGCATAGGGAGTTGGTTATCTTGTAAAACTGCTACAGTGTTTATGCCACCTTCATTTAGGTGATAGACGGGATTTTGTAAAACTGCTACAGAACTCTGTTTTGGTTGGATGCACAAAATGTTGATGAAGTGGGAGGATAATTGCGAGGTTTCAGGTTCAAACACCGATAGGGAGAAAAACAATTGGTGGTTTCTTCTCATCTGCTTAAGCCTTAGTGGGCGGAATTACCCATTGCCTGTGTTGGTGGAGACAGCAGGGTACCCGGTGGAAGCTTAGTTAGTTCTCCTTACTCAGACTTTCTGTTCAAATGCCCATGCTTCAAGATTTGAGGTTTTCACCAGAAATCTCTGTAAAAAAAACAGTTGTAACAATATTGCATAGGTCCAACTTAATCCTCCTGAATAGTCAAGGTGTGCAAGTTGGACCGGACACTACCATTATTGGAAAAAAAGGATACTATAGGACAGGAGAGCTTAAGAAAATGGAAATGTTTATGGGAGTCCCGAAGAGCTTAAGCAGAACAAACACTCTATGGAGTTCGAAAAGCTTATGTTTCATTCAAATGCTTGTGAATTAAGTAAAATATTATAGCTGGACAAGTAAATGAAAACTCAGCAAGTTAATGTTGTCTCTTGAAAAATATCTAGCCACTTGCTCATAGAAGCATGCTTTTATCATTGCAAATGCTTGTGAATTAAGTAAAATATTATAGCTGGACAAGTAAATGAAAATTCAGCAAGTCAATGTTGTCTGTTGAAAAATATCTTAGCTACTTGCACATAGAAGCATGCTTTTATCATTGGCCTTAAAGTATAACTCAAGTTTTGTTTTTGTTATCATTTGTGTACTAATGTGTTAGCATGTATCCATATATCAAGTTCTTATGTGTGCATTTAGAGATGGTGTTTGCAGTAGGTCTTCATCTTGTGGTTGTGTTAGGCCTTCATCTCTCAGTAACACATTTATATATTTATAATCAATGTGAATCTGTGAGTTCAAATCTCCTATGTTTGATTAATGACCATGGAAAGGAAAAACTAAAAGAGAATCTTTAAGAAAAAGAAATATTAAGAATACCAACAAAAGAGAATCTTTAAGGAAAAGAGAAGGCACTAAAGGGTTTTATAATAGTTGAAGAAAGTCTGATTTCAGAGAGCTCAGTAAAACTAATTGGGACTTGCTGACTTTAACTTTTTCAGATGAGAGACTTCTTCGATGCGGACAAGATCTGCCAGAAAAAGCCACCCTACTACAGAAGTGAAGAAGTTCCGGATATGTGGTTTTCTCCAGAAGTTGTGTGGGTGATAAGGGGTGCTGACTTCACAGTGTCACCAGTGCATCACGCAGCCATTGGTTTAGTCCATCCATCTCGTGGTATTTCTGTCAGATTCCCCAGATTCATACGGTGTGTGTCAGATAGAAAACCTGAGGAATGTAGCACATCTGCTGATATAGCTGACATGTTCCGCTCTCAGATTAGAAAAATGGATGTGAAGGCTGAAAAATAGTTGTAAATATTGGTTTATTCTCAAGGAACCTCCCTCTTCCACTCTCTCTCTCTCTCTCTCTCACACACACACACACACACAGGTATAAATGCTTACTACATAGAATAGTTGACAGAGTGGTGTGTGATCACTTTGTGATGCTGCATACACCGTGGAAAGAGCTGAACTTCTTTGTGTTATGATTGCGATGCTGTACAGAACTGTGGGACGCCATCCTATACCATACCGTATAGAGACCCAATGTTCAAATGTGCGTGTAATTTTATACAGTTATGTGGGTGGGCAATTGTTGGAAACAAAATGGATCCACGCAGAGCAAGCTGAAACACTGTCATAGGTGTGAGTCTGCACTTGTGTATCTTACTGGAAAGACTGTTACCCACAGATTCAACTTGGCAGTTTGCTTACCCTGGGCCCGTTTGGTGTGAGGGATAAACATAAATAGTCCTCAGATAAAATTTAAATGACTTGTTTGGGATAACTTATCCCACCATTTATAGCATAGTGATGGGATGAGTTATCCCAGACTAATTAACCCTAAGGGGTCGTTTGGTTTGAATATGAGTTATGATGGGATAAGTTATGTTGGGATAAGTTATGTTGGGATTAGTTATGATGGGATAAGTTGTCCTGGGATTATTTCTTATTGAGTGTTTGGTTTGTTATATTCAAAATAATATATATTGATAAATTTTAAGAACAAGTTGTTTGTTTACAAAATTACCCTTCACTTTATTTAAACTTTTTAAATTTTTCTTTGTGAGCTTTAGTTATTCATTTTTTAAAATAAAACTTTTATTTTTTTTAACTTAAATATTTTTGTTTATGTATTCCCATGATAAGTACCATGTGTATTTAAAAATATAACTTTTTTCTTATTTAGCTTAAAAATAGAACTTTCCTCTTAAGTTTATTAAAGAGAAGAAAATTTATGAGAAATCAAAATAAAATAAACATAAGAATTAGTCAAATAAATTCATAAATAAAAATTATATTTATATAGTATAATTTTTTAATAGAAAAATATGTATAATTATCATAAAAATAAGGAGTAGTAAATATTATTATACATGGTATTAAAAAAAATGTAAATATACATAAATGTAAAAAATGATATATAAAAAGGATTTAAAGGGACATATTTGTCATTTACCTATTCTATCTCGGGATAAGTTATCCCGGGATTACTATACCACCCATGGGGAGGGATAACTTATCCCGGTACTAATTATTAATCCCGGGATAAGTTATCCCGGACTTGCCAACCAAACAACATAATTTTTTTTTTATCCCATCACTATTTCCTTATCCCATCACTATTATTTCTAATCCCTCACACCAAACGAGCCCTAAGATAGTTAATCTTGGGATAACTAGTTCTCAATCAAACGACATAGAACTGGAAGCTCTCATAGAGTATCTATTTTACTTTTTAAGATACTGTCTCTACAATTAAAAGTTGCATAATTACTATGATCAAGATGGTTATAAAATATTATATAAATATAAAATTTAATTAATATAACTTTTCCTTTGTTTCACTATTTCAATTTGCTTATTTGGTTTTAACTTGACACAAAATTTAAGAATATAAATCTTTTGAATTTTATGGATTTAATTATAAGTATGTAGAATGTCTCAAAGTGTCTTATAATATTGTGGTTTTAAAATATTATATGAAAAGTTAGAATTAGGAGTTATTAAAAAGGAATGACATCTTTTTAAAAATGAATTAAAAAGCAAAATATGATAGGTGTAAGAATTGTTTGTTTGATGTTGTACACATCTAAAAGCCAGAGTGCCACAGCTAGCTGGGAATGAGAGCTCCCGCCAATATTAAAAACCTGCTATAGCCGGTAGCTGGAGATACAGCCGGTCATACAGTATAAAACAAGTAAATTGAAATAAAAGAGCTGCTTCCTTGTTTGGTGGTTGTTCTAACCAGTTGCTTTTTCTGCTTGAAAATTATTCACTATGGCGGTGAGAACAAGTCCGTCTCTCCGACGGAGATTTTAGATTCCAAGTTTTTCTTGTGCTGGATCCAACGCCGCCCAGGGTTACAGCGTTGATACAATATGAGTGCGGTGAACATCACGAATGTTGCCGTATTAGACAATCCGGCATCATTTTTGTCCCCGTTCCAGTTTGAAATATCTTACGAGTGTGTCACTCCTCTCCAAGATGGTACTTCTTCTTTTCCCTCTTTTGCATGTTGTATCTCTCTGACTTATTAGGGTTACTTTCTTATAGAAAGTTGACTCTTTTTTCTTTCTTTTGCATGTTGACTTATTAGGGTTACTTTCATAAAGAATGTTGACTGGGGCGGACTTGGCAGTGTAAATTCATATTACAATTGATTTGACTAATTTGTTTACATTTTGTTCCTATTATAGTAATGTTTAGCTAAGCTATTGTGAGATTGTGGGGTTAGAGGTTCATTTTCTGATTGTTTTAATTTCCACAAGTGTTTGTTGATGTCACAGAAATCCAAGGGACAGATATTTTCGTGTGTGAGGGTATCTCAGTTTAAACATACTGATACAATCTGGAATTTGGGGATAACTGAACTTATTAAAATACAGCTAGGAAGTGTAATCAGAGGAAGAACTAAGCCCTAAGCTAGGGCTAGAACTAGGCGAAATTCTACAAAGATAGTTAACAGTGGAATGAAAAAGATTTAATTTGTAGACCTAGCTAGCTATACTAGATAAGCTAAAATGACTGCTAACCAACACCATTAGTAATTTTGGTAAGATCAGCTAAGCAACTTAGGCTAAATCGCTGTTCACGTGACTCGTGAGTAGCCACATGCTAAAATTTCAGATCACATCATATACGTAAAGGTCGTGCTTAAATTTGGTTGATGTAGGGTTCTTGATACTGCGGTGATTCTTTCAATCATATAACATCAATTGGTCGGCTTTGCTCATATCTTGCTGTAATTGGTAGCATTATATAAGCAAAGTTGCATATTTCCAAATGCTCAGAGTAAATCGAATGGAAATGGGATTAATCAACCCTAGGAGCTGGTAAAATTTGTGGGTTCTTCATGTTGAAGTCTTAAATACGCTTTGTACCTGGCTTGAGCTGAGATTATGAATCACCAGGGAAACCTAACATAACTTGTGGGAAAGATCAGGTGCAGGGAAATATTTTTCAGGTTATTGACCAATTTTGATCATCAAACTACTGGACGGTTATAGTCTGTGGCAATATATATATATATATATATATATATATATATATATATATCTGCTGTGCTTCCCAGCTTTCCCAATGTCAAACTATGCCAGTTTGATAGATGAAATAATCATGCTATGGTTTTCTGGGGAATCTTGGTTTTCCATGTCATACTAGACTTCAGTGTAAAATCATTTCTAGAATAAAAATAGAGTTTCTGACAAGACTTCAAGCCAGCTTGTTTATTCTTCCATTTCACTTGTGAGCACAATGTATAGTCGTTCCTTATCTTTCCCTCTGTCCAGGACTGTCTCCTCTTAACCAAATGATTTGTAATTCTGATTGTGGATATTTGGATTTAAGAATGAACTCGTTTTGAGCTTTTGCTTTTATGCCATTGCACTTACTATCAATGGTCTAACTTGATGATCTTTAGATTATTTGCATGTGTGCCTAAAAGCAATGAAGCATCTTGACATGTCCTTGTAAAGTATGCTTTCTAGTTGGTTCAAGGTGGGGGAGGTGGTGTCATGATGTTAGTTCCAGCAGTAGCTTCAAGAAAGGGAACTTTAGAGTTCAAGCTTTCCTTTTCTAGAACTGATAAGTACATACTGCATACTACTATTATCATTTTCTGATGACCTGCAGTTAAAAAGATTTTTCTAATACTGCTATAGGAATTTCCTAGTATAATATTTAATAGCATGTTTATGTGCAGCATTAATACATTAAATAGTCCTCCATTCTATTTTGCATATTTCCTTGGGGCTGTTTGGTTCGTTGATGAGATTAGACGGTAACTTAATACCATTAAACTTGGGACTGGATCTGGATGGAAGATTTTTGTGAAATGGATTGTTGTGAGGGATATAAAAATGCTTATTTGGGTGAAAACTGTATTTGGGTTTTAATAAGTTTTTATCCTTGGGGGTTTTAGATTGGGTGGGTTCAAAGAAAAAGAAGGATCTTTCGTTTACCTTACTTTCCTTTGCTTGATTCATGGGATACAAGTTGGAAACAACTTTTGAACCCAGGTGTTCATCTAATTAAGTGTCAATTATGCTGTAAACAAAAACAAAACACAGTAAAATTTATTTGTAGAAAATTCATAGGAGTTGGTCTCTAGTGGCATGATAGTTGGTGGAAACTGGAAAAACTATGGAAGGGGATAAATTAGATTATGGCCCATAATATGAGTAATTTCTCTCGGAGAAATTGTAATCTGCCAGTAGCCGAACATCAAATCATCAATTCAAAGAACAGATAGATGATACTGTGGTACTGTTGCTTACTTACCCCTTAAGTCAAAATCAGAGGTGGATGTTTATCCTCCTAATCTGATTGGGCATTATTTGGTTCTATATCAGAACAGTAAATGATTATTAGGACGTCAACCATCTTTCCCAACTTTTAAGATTATTTAGGTAGTTAACTAGGGAAGAGAATGGACTTAATATTTTGTTGTGGTAACACAGTTCTCTTTTCTCTTTTGAGGATCAAAAATTCAGTAAAATGATCTATAAATTGGTTGAACCTTTAGAAGCTATATTCTTTGCAGATAGAAATTCTCCCACCAAATTTATTTTCTCTTTTTTTTTTTTTTAAGCCAGATACATTCTGGCTGTTTTTCAAGATTTACACTACCAAGTGTTTCACTTTGTTAGTGAGGATTTATGTAGCTGACTCTAATTAGCTTGGAATTGAGCCCTAGTTGTCTCTGTTGATGTTGTTGTAAGTATGATTTATTTTGATTTTGTTTGCATAATAATCTCTTTGTCATATGCTCATGCAGATTTGGAATGGAAGCTCATCTATGTGGGATCGGCTGAGGATGAGACATATGACCAAGTTTTAGAAAGCGTTCTTGTTGGCCCTGTAAATGTTGGAAATTACCGCTTTGTCTTGCAGGTATTATCTCCTGGATTCCAATTGTCCCTCGGGGTACTAATGCTTTGTCTGCCTTATTGAATTTATGTTATATTTTCCGAACTTTGATGCTAGGCGGACCCTCCAGATCCTTTGAAAATTCGTGAAGAAGACATTATTGGTGTTACTGTCCTCTTGTTGACCTGCTCATATTTGGGGCAGGAATTTGTACGAGTTGGGTACTATGTGAACAATGATTATGATGCTGAGCAGCTGAGAGAAGAGCCTCCACAGAAAGTCCTAATTGATAGGGTTCAAAGAAATATATTAACGGACAAACCTAGAGTAACGAAGTTCCCTATTAACTTTCGCCCTGAAAATAGTGAAAGAGAGGAGCAAGCCCCTCCACCTGATCATGTGGGTGAAGAAGAAGACCGAAACGAAGGGCAATTGCCTTTCCCTAAGAGTAAATCAGATGAAGATGGAGCCTAATATGAAAATGTTATTTTTTTATCCTTGTGTTTGGTTTTACAGTATTGTCCCTGAAGATATCTCATTCTGGCTTCTGGTGGATGATATCTGATCATCAAAACCCGTGTTTTTCTTCTTTTCCTTTCTTTCTTGTGATATATGTATCAATTCCAGTGACATTTTCAAGTAGTTAACCAGTCTGGTTTTGGGGGTTTAGAAGAAACTGTAAGTAGACTAGATGCCAATTTTGGCTTTGTAATTTGGTCCAAAATGTTTATAAGCAAAACTTTAATAACCTTATGATACTAATATTCTGACTTTTTTTTTTGTGCATTTGAAAAGTTAAGTTCGCAGAGGATTTCTCCATATAATGAGTCCGAGGTCCCTTATCCTACCGATGTGGGGACTACAATAAAATGTGTATCTTACAAAGCATTTCATCTAGAATTGTACTCAACTAACCAACACCAAATTACTGTGATGTGTTTTATTTGACTGAAAAAAGATACATAATTATGCAGATGTTGCCTGGTTGGTACCTATTATTGATATTGATTGAAGTGCTTTTATCTAGTTCGGTCACATATCAACCTCTGGACTCCTATTTTGGACTGACTTCTAAGCCAGCTTTCTTTGATTAATTTACATTTACATTGATGATCCAATATATATGATGAAAAGCTGGCATAAAATGGGGGTTAGATACCTTCAAGAGAAAGATAAGAGACCCACTTCCCTCGGGATATTTTTTTTCCTAAATAGAACATGAACATGTCCCACTTTCTCTGTGTGTATCATTTACATTTTGAGACCTCAAAGCCAACTTGACATGTACCATCAAATTTTTTGTTAAACCGAGAATTTCTCATTTGGCAAGCGGACAATAAAATCCTTCCTCCCTCCGTTTCATATTAATTGATTATTTTATTTTTTTATACACATATTAAGAAATTAAAATTAAAAATACAATTTTACTAATTCAGCCTTTAAATTTTTTTACAACAAATGTGAACATTTTAAAATAATTAATTACTACAAGATATTTTAATTTAATAAAATGAACAACTAATATGAAGCCAACGTTAAAAGTAAAATATTGGATGAGTAGACGAAACCAATTTCGTCATTCCAATCACCGCACCTCAGGCCGCCATACAAGTATCTGGGGTAGGCAGAAACTAATAGTATTCTAATATTAAACATAAATAAATCCCTATATATAAGAGAACACGTCTGCCCTTTCTTAAATAACTCAAATTGATCTTCCCTGTAAAATCCATCACTGAAAAGAGTCCTCTGTTTCTAAAACTCACTTAAAATGTCTGATTCCGATCACCAAACCCTATCTACTGTCGACGGCAACACCTTCGTTGCCATGTGCCTTGCACGTGCCGGCGTCGACCGGATGTTCGGGGTTGTCGGCATACCCGTTACTTCCCTTGCGAACCGGTCGGTTGGACTCGGTATCCGGTTTATTGCTTTCCACAATGAACAATCTGCCGGTTACGCTGCTTCGGCTTATGGTTATCTTACCGGTCGACCCGGTATTCTTCTCACCGTCTCCGGTCCAGGTTGCGTTCATGGCCTCGCTGGGCTTTCCAATGCAACCGTTAATACCTGGCCCATGGTTCTGATCTCTGGGTCATCTGATCAGAAAGAAATGGGTCGTGGGGATTTTCAAGAATTAGATCAAATTGAGGCTGTGAAACCCTTCTCTAAATACTCAGCTAAAGCAACTGATATAACGAAAATCCCCAGCTGTGTTTTCAGTGTTTTGGATTGGGCAATCTCTGGCAGGCCAGGTGGTTGTTATTTGGATCTTCCTACTGATGTGCTTCATCAGACAATTAGTGACACTGAAGCACATAAATTGATCGATGATGCTGAGAGTTGCAGGAATAAAGAGCTCATTGCTAAACCCATTGTTCAACATTCGGAAATTGAAAAGGCGGCTGCTTTGTTGAGGAAAGCGGAGAGGCCTTTGATTGTGTTTGGAAAAGGGGCTGCATTTTCTAGAGCTGAAAATGCTTTAAAGAATTTAGTTGAGCGTACTGGAATACCCTTTTTGCCAACACCAATGGCAAAGGGTTTGTTGCCTGATAATCATGAGCTAGCTGCTACTGCTGCAAGGTCACTGGCAATTGGAAAGTGTGATGTGGCGTTGATTGTTGGCGCAAGGCTTAATTGGCTTTTGCATTTTGGAGAGCCACCAAAGTGGTCTAAGGATGTTAAGTTTATCTTAGTTGATGTAGATAAGGAGGAGATTGAGCTTAGGAAACCATGTTTAGGGTTGGTTGGTGATGCTACTAAAGTTGTCGAGATGATACACAAGGAGATTAAGGATGACCCTTTTTGTTTAGGGAAGTCTCATCCTTGGGTTGAGGCATTATCAAAGAAGAGTAAGGAAAATGTTTTGAAAATGGAGGCACAACTGGCAAAGGATGTTGTGCCATTTAATTTTATGACACCAATGAGAATTATTAGAGATGCAATACTGCAATTGGGCAGTCCTGCTCCAATTGTTGTCTCCGAAGGTGCCAATACTATGGATGTGGGGCGATCAGTATTAGTTCAGACCGAGCCAAGGACCCGGTTGGATGCAGGGACGTGGGGGACAATGGGAGTTGGTCTGGGGTACTGCATTGCAGCTGCTGTTGCTTCACCTGAAAGGCTTGTAGTAGCTGTTGAAGGGGACTCCGGATTTGGCTTCAGTGCCATGGAAGTTGAGGTTTGTTGTCTTTCTCTATTTCATATGTTGTTTTCCTCTATATACTCTATTAATAGGATCTGACTAACTTTAGTTGTTACCCTAGAATAGCATTGCTGATCTTCAACATATGATGCTTTTCTTTCTTGGTGATCAGAGAACTTCTTCATTAACTTGTTGCTTGTTAGTCTGTCTAACGTCTCGTTTAGTAAATCATTTACGTTTGTGAGTAATAATTAAGCCCAATTGAATAGATTTTTCTCATATAATATGGAGTTGAACTGATCAGTGCTTAAGCTTAGGCTCTGATGAAGCTCAAAATACTATTTTTTCTGCTGCTTAGAGAACTGCTGTAGGCATGTGATGTCCTCCCCCATTATTGTGGATTAAGGATTCTTATGTAGTTTATTACTGGCAATTTCAGGGGTTAGTAAGATCTAATAGTCAACAGCAAGTTCTATCTTTCTGAGTAGTTCATTGGTTTTCAGGAATGATATCTAAGTGGAATAACTGTAATGATATCTGAGTAGTTCACTAATATCTCTTATGGAATTTCTGACAGATCTTAAACTGTAATGAACCACTAAATACAAATATGTGCTGTACCATATCTTGCAGACTTATGGGGTTGAATATTCATAGGTTCTCCGCTGCTACTTTATTAAGTTAAAATCCAACTCATTTTTTGATCACATGATGTCAAATGGATTTGAATGGGTTCAGAATTTTCTTGGGTTAATTCATCATGCCCTTAATCTGAATTGCTTTCCAGCTCAGCTGATGGAGCAACCTTCTCAAATACATGGATCTTATTGTTTTTCTGTTTGAGAAGATAGCTAAATGGGATATTAGGGGTTTAGGAAGTGATGCATTGACCTGCTGGCTGCGGTGTAATGCAGTGGTGTCATAACTCATAAGTTAGTAAGATCACTTAAAACTTGTGGTACAAATTCAGGGAACTCAACTCGATGTCATAAATCAGTACAATTACTTCCCATATACTAGAAAGCTGCTCAACAGGTCATTGAATCAACCAACAGTTCATCAGCACTTATAATGATTGGAACCTAGGCCCCTTGCCTTGATTTGCTGGTTCTTGATGTTGGGCCCATAATCCCTCCTATTACTAGTACCATCTTGTGCTATACCCTATTTACCGGTTCTGGGGTGATTCATGATTTTTCTTAACTATTTGTTTGTCCCCTGTAATGTTACTCGTACAGCTTTTTTCTCTTGTTGCCTGTGGTGGTGTTCTCATACAATTATGAGGATTTATTGGTCCTCGTTTCTTAAGGTTACCATGATCTCTTTTTCACTTTTTGTTTAAATATTATAGCATTGATCACTCCTTACAATGAAAAATTATGCTCGTGAAGGCATTCCTTCTACTTCTAAGTTACATTTGTTATAGAGTAACTTACCTATGGCACCGTTGGCTCCCATATATTTCTTGGTTCACTTTCTTTTAAAGTTTAATTTACAATCCTAATTCAGAGTAATTTATGTACTGCAGACCCTAGTTCGCTACCAGCTACCAGTTGTGGTTATAGTCTTTAATAATGGAGGAGTTTATGGTGGTGATAGAAGGAACCCCGAAGAAATTACTGGACCTTATAAAGAAGATCCAGCACCCACGTCTTTTGTTCCTGGTGCATCGTATCATCTTCTAATTGAAGCCTTTGGAGGAAAAGGATACCTTGTTGGAACACCTGATGAACTTAAATCTGCACTTACTGAATCTTTTTCTGCTAGGAAGCCTGCTGTTATCAATGTGACAATCGATCCTTATGCTGGTGCTGAAAGTGGGAGAATGCAGCACAAAAATTGAGGTTGCGGGTCTCTGATTATTTATGTATGGATATGCTTGCTGAAGTTCAGTTCTTGTCCGCCATTCGTGCAAAACGAAAAACAGAAGAAGAAAGATTGCTACTGTGCCACGGTATTAAGTTGTCATCGGTGGAGTGAAAATAATAGCGAAGGGAATAGGATAAGTGAATGTCTCTCCTTAGTATCGTCACTGATAGGGTATGGTGTTGAATTTACAGTTGACATTGATGAATGAATATTCGTATACATAGTAAATGAAAATAATGTATTTGCAACAAATACTATCCTTGTGATTTTCTTTGTTTCTCAAGTGTTTTATTGAGTTCCTTGTTATGTCTCTCTGGGGCTTTAGGAAAAACGTACTGGCATTAGTTATTTATACCAATCTACATTAATTAATCATAATTAGCAATTTATGTGAGAAATATTAACTATGATTTATGAACGGTTGTTTATATAAAGACATCAGTAATACTTTTATTGGCTTGGTAGAACATTGGGTGCAAGGCTTTTTCCACTCTAAAACAATACGTATGTAAACAAAAAAAACTTTTGAATTTGGTGGTCTTGAACTAAAGATATGTAGAATGTATGAAAATATCTTTAATCTTGTAGTTTAAAAATGTCATGTGGAAAATTTGAACTAAAGTAATACAACAAATTGAAATGGAGAGAGAGTATCTTACTATGTTTATAGTTGATAAATTAAATCTATGATCGAATTAATTAAATATGTTTATAGTTGATGAATTAAATTACTCA